ACTTACTTTGAATTCTCTAACTCCATTTATTTCTAAACTTGCCAAAAATAATTATTTAAAAAATTACAATATTACACCTTACCATTAAATATGTAAAATTCAATTTGCTGACATTTCTGAAATCGGTTAAACATTAAAATTTGAAAAATATAAAGATAATTTAAAATACAAAAAATCAAATGACTACGAGATTAAAAAAGTCTTAATCAATCAACAACATTGAATAATATATATAAACAAAGTAATATTCTTAATTACTTTTCGGTTTGTTCAATCATTTTGGTTCGGTTTCGTATAATACGAATTACGTTGTGGTAATTTAGTATAACAATTTATATATCCATTCAGACTATTATATATTTTGGTCTAAGTTTGGATTGTTGAATTTTGATTTGGTTTGATTTATATATTGTCTATCCTTTGGTGAAACTCATTCCTATACAATAACAATCGCAAATTCGGATATATACAAACGAATTGTCGAATTTATTATAATAATTTTGGCTATAGTTGATATAAAAATTATGCAGTAACTACAATTGATTATTTTAACGAAAACTATATAAATTTTTATTATAAATATTTCACTCCGCATACAGTAAAAAAATCTCATATTTTAATCTTAAATAAACTATTTTACATATAATATTTACTGGTGCAAAGCGCCGGACCTAACCTAGTTTGCAATACAACCCAATTTCTCTATTTTTTTCTGGAAAATATATGTTCTAAATATTAGTTATACTGACTAACAATTTTAGTCAATATTGTATACTGTTAAAACGAAAGTCAATATATATTGTTAACCACGACAATGCATATTGCCATACCAAAACAGAAACTGATCCTTCAAAATTCATAGAAATCCGATTTTACTTGTTATTAAAGGTGTTTACGGATGTTCAAATATAATTGCAATAAGGTTCCAAAAAAATAATAATATAATAACTGAAACCACAGTTAAAATACTCGAACTCTTGAAAAAAGATCTTAAAAAAATCTTTTTTTTTGTTATCTAGAATATTATATTAAACACCGATAAATACATGAAGAACTACAAAATATGATACAAGTTCACTATAACAAAGCCAACGAAAAATAAGCTTCTCCAGAGACATATTCAAGGCACTAGAAAATGGAGAAAAAATACCGAAAAATATAAAAGAATAATTCTCAACCCATGCTTAAAATACTGAACCATCAAACACAATCCCACATGCTTAACCATAGAACTTGGTAATAAATCATTCAACCATTTAACTATTACACTTAGTTAAACACAATATTTAATTAATATATATTGATTTATTAATCGGTTATTAATCGGTTTCTTCTTTCTTCACACGAACAAGAATTCTCAAATTAACATGGGGACCCTAATCTAATTAAATATATTTAAGTGGACTCAACCGTAACAACCACAAGTGAAACTTTGTCATAGTCAAAGTCGGACAAGATTTGATGTTTTTGCATTAATGACCTCCACGGCAAGGAAAATGTTAATTAACACTTCTCTTGAACTCACACTAGGCACCACTATATGCAGAGTAATATAGTTTTAAGTCTTGGATTAGAAAAAGCTTTACACTCGTGTGTTTTTTTTAATGTATCTATAGAAAACATCATTGTTTACTAAGATTCAGAATTTTTTTATCGGAAATTTATGTTACATGAAATTTTATTTATTTCATTAATGGAATCTCTTTTACAATCAATCATATAATAAATATTAAGTAAATTTTTGTTAGGAAATCAGTCGAAATAATGAACTGAGATCGCCATGGATCATAAATGATATCATAAATACTTTTTTTTTGATAAATTAAAGATCTCTATTGTTTTAAGAATTTTTGTGTGTTGAAGAAAGTAGAAACTCGATTTAAA